AAAAAAAGTCTGAGAAACGCCATAACTGTGGGGGACACGGACCGCCACGATGAGAGGATTTGGAAGGAAACACTCTTTTTTTCCAAACCCTCGCTTATTTAATCATTTACAATAAAACTTCGATGGGAGAGGGGCTGGCGGGCTGTCATGGGAAACGCTTGCGCTCCACAGGTTCGCACGCCAAACCGAAGGTTGTAGACCTTCGTCACACGTGGAAACGACCGTGGCTCGCAACCTAATCCTTCACGCACCCGGAGGTATGGTGAAGGGGGAGGTGCGACACTTTCTTCCACTTTCCGCAGAAAATATGCTTTTGAAGTTGTTTGGATGGTGATGGTGGCGGTTGAGGCGGGCACGATCCGACGCCGTCGAGCGGTGTCAGGGAGTGTCCGAGAGTGACCGGCGTTGTTTGGCGCCCTAGTGGTCGTCGTGTTCCCCCTGGGAGGGCTGCTCGGCATGTCGGTAGCGCTCGTCGTCGTCCTGGGCCGGGGGTTGGGCCTGAGGGCGCCAGGGTGCCACATCGAACGGGGCCTAACGAACACGTCCAACAATGTCAACGCACTCTGCTCGCCTATGGCAGACATGGCAATGCCAAATTCTCGGGTACAATTGTCCTGCGTCTGGTGTATTGCAGGTACTTGTTGATGTATAGCTTACCCAGCGTTCACCGAGCGCCTCGACGAAGTATCTGACGGGCTGGTCGTCCAGGACGACGTCCTCTGGGTAGCTGGCCGGGGCGTTGGGCGTGGCGCGGGGCCGCGGGGGCGGCGGGGGCAGCGGCACGGCGCGGGCCCGCTTGCCGCCCGGCTTCCACCCCCGGGAGTAGGTGAACGTCTGGCCCAGCGCGACGTCGGCCAGCAGCAGCACCACCAGGGACGCGGCCAGCAGGCCCACAAGGGTTTTGGCCATCCTGCACAGACAGCCGAGTTTCACTGACTCTCGTCCACCAGAGAAGACACGGGAACTTGGGTTTTCCTAGTAGGAAAACTTTCAAAAAATTGAATAGTAAGAAACCTCTACAGGATGATGCCTCAGAAAACGCGATTATTTTGTTGCTGACAAGGGCAACTGCGAGTGTCGTACAATTAGAAACAGAGTGGTTACTTTAATCCGGCCCAAGAAAGTGATATTTTGACTCCGAAATGCTTTCATCAGGCTTGCTGTTCGCCGTGTCGCCGTGGACATCCGAAGCTCTAAGGGGAATAAAATAGACGCCCTCGATTCTGCCGGGTAGGGTGGTTTTCTCCCCCCTACGCAAGAGGCTGCGCGGGCTATAGCGCGGCGGAATGGAGCTTCGGCAGGCGAGACTAGTGGCGACTCGGGAACCCGATTCGATTTCGAAGGGGATGAATTGGGTCGATCGTAAACAGGTTGATGTTGGTGGGCTGGGCAGACGCCCGGGCTCGCACTCGACAGCCCCGCCGTGGCCACTCCGCCCGCTCCGCCCCGCCCACATGCAGCACGGCGAGGTGTAAGGCTCTCCCGGTCGCTCCCCGGGGGTGGCCGAGTCGGCCGAGTGGCCCGAGGCCAGTCCGGTCCGGTCGACAACAGCTCCCCCGGGGGATCGGCGCGGGTCGTTCGCAGGTTTGAGACTGGGGCTGTAAACTGACTTGACGAGGACTCGCGGGGGCCAAGGCGGGCGGGGCGCAGGGGGTGAGGGCCTCGCCGCCGTGGCCGAGATTAGAGCACCCAGGATCCCAGGGCCTCCTCTCACCTGCCCGGCGAAAGCTCACACCACCACACACACTGCGAGTGCAGGGCCCAGCTCGGGCGGGCGTGTGAGCTTCCTACATGATTAGGCTTGCACGAGTGCATTCGCGCACATTCTGTTTCGCATTGTTTTGTCCTAACAATGTGCCTGGTGTGGCGTGGGCGTGCGCTGGGAAAGGGATGCGTCAAGCCCAGTCGAGCCGACGGCTTGCTAACCTGGCCTTTCCCTCACCAGGTGGCGTGTTTTCATATGTCATTGGCCGGGGCGCAGTTGCACTACACTTATAAGTCACCTCAAATGTAGGCAACTTTAAGAGACAACATCCCCGTATGAAAGGCAACATTTAGAACAAAGTGTCCCATTCAGGGTCAGACATTCCCGCCAAAACTTTAAATCAAACAATGCCTCGCTGTGGGGGGATGGTTCCTGTAGCTCTAGGCCGTTCGCTAATCCTCCACACTGTATTAAGTCCCAGAAACACGGGGCAACTTTTCAAAACATGTACGTTTGGCGTTTGAACGTTTATGCGGAAAGGAAAAGGAGAGCGTTCTGCAATGGGGAGGTGGAGGATGGACGGAGGCCGGAGGCGGATTTGCGGCGGGCTGGCTGCTGGACCGCGAGTCGCCACGTCAGCGCGCTCTAGCGGCAGCGATCGGGACCGCGGGGTTCACCCGACGCGCGGGGTATCGGCAGCGGGCGCGGTGCTGGGTGGTCTTTCCTGAGCCGTGGACACTTACCAATCTGGTGTGTGTCCCAGCGGTCGGGTGGGACGAGACTGCCTCCTGTGCTTCCACTTTGCGTCCGCGTCCAGTGCGGTGGAGCCCTGAGGCTGGGACTGAACGGGTGCCGCCCCTAGATACGGCTCCTTATATACCCCGGCAGGGCAGGGCAGCCCGGGGCGGTGGGCAGCGGCGCCGGACAAGCCTCCAATCTGCCCCCTTGTCCGCTGGTCAGCATCAGAGCCACCCCCTCCCCCATCCTCCTCGCCTTGGCATCCTTTCCTCCTTCCCACCTTCCCCCTTCCCCCACCCTATGGTAAAGCCTGATGCCTGAAGCGGGTCTATTCAAAGCGTCAGGGCTAGTAACGAACTTTGAGAT